AGAGAGAAATGAGTGTTTAGTGTTTCAACTTTACTTCCTTTTTCCTATAAAGTTAATATACTGTACTTACGTTAAAGAACATGTGTAGTATAAAAGAGAACATCCTCAAAACCTTTATTAGAGGTTTGAAATTATAAATTACGAAATATTGCTCAGATTTCTTCGTAAAATTAAAGTTTAATTGGGAAACCCGTGTTTTAAGTACTTAGTAAGAAAAAGTTGACTTGTACTCACATTATAAAACACTGAAACTACATAAAAGTCGATTGAGTTAGTTTTTCTCCGAAACATTCACCCCAACTGTGTTTGTTTGTTTGTTTTTGGATTTCGCGCAAAGCTACACCAGGGCTATCTGCGCTAGCCGTCCCTAAGTTAGCAGTGTAAGACTAGAGGGAAGGCAACTAGTCATCACCACCCACCGCCAACTTTTGGGCTACTCTTTTACCAACGAATAGTGGGATTGACCGTCACTACATAACGCCCCCACGGCTGAAAGGGCGAGCATATTTGGTGTGACGGGAATTCGAACCCGCGACCCTCAGATTGGGAGTCGAGTGCCCTAACCACCTGGCCATGCCGGGGCCCCCCAACTGTGAGTAATAACGCTAGGTTTAAAGCAAGCTACAAATGCCATACTTTGTCAATAAATGTCTGTAATTTGTTTTTAGCATACTTTTCGTCTGGTAATTATTCTGTGCATACCTGATATGATTATGAGTTTGAAACACTATCTGATTTCAAAGTTCAACCGGCTGTGCATGTCTTATAAGGTCGTGAAGATTTGAACAGTTGACGTAAGGCACATGTGCGTTTTGTTCCAGACATGATGCGATTTACTACTCTATAGCTACTTTAAAGGATATGACTTTCCAGACAACCCTTAATTTAATGAAAATTGCTCAGAGTAATTTATCACATTTCAAGAAAAACGTACTTTGGTCTATTTCTTGTTTTGTTTTTCATTATATTTCGAAGAAATTCATTACCCACGAAACTTAAAGGTTAACTCGTTCAGTGACTTCCAGACAATTTAAGTATAATAAGAAATGATCGGTTTTCATGATGTTTCATACATCATTAATTATGCACTTGTCGCAGAACATAATCGCTCTTTCGGTTTTGGGGGCGTAATAATGTGATGGTCAGTCTCACTATTGTGAGTTGGCGGTGGGTGGTGTTAACTAACTGTTTTTCCAGTGGTCCATCTTTTGAAAATTAGAGAAGGCTAGCGCAAATAGTTCTCAAATAGTTTTACACAAACAATTAAACGACCAGTTTTACTTGATAACATAATTATATCCAATCTTCGAAGCTATTAGAGCTGTATCTTCCACAACCATGGTAAAATAACAATAATAATAATAATAAACTCTATGGAATCATAGCTTATCAAAGTATACATTAGAACTACTTCAGGAAATAATTTATTTGTGTGTATGCAGAAAAATCATCCAAATAATGTGGTAAAAATAAATTTGACGGAATCACTAATTAATGTACATAAGATAAAATGAGATGAATGAAAAGATTGGAAATTAGCTGAGGATTCAAGAACTTTTATGTACAGAAATGAAGTATGTAAATTTTCTTCGATTATGTTGAAATAGTAAATTACGAAGCGTTATAAACATAGATATATTACGAGAACGCATTCAGCTAAAGAGCTAGTTTTGAAAGCTAGCAGTAGAGGGAGCGGAATTTTTCGCAGTGTGCTCTAAATGCACGTGATCTGTGTGCAGCTCTTTCAGTATGAAAGCGGAGACGAGGGAAGTATGCCGCTTGGTTTGTAAAGCATTTGTGCTGTTTTGCACTGGTAGATATATATATATATGATTGTGTTAAAGGTTTGTTATTTATTTTTTCACTTGTGTATCACAAAAATTAGTCATCATAGACTTCCTTCAAACTATTATGTCAGTTATCGTAATGAGTCTTGAATTAAAATGAACAGATATTGTGCTTGTTTATTATTTCTCCATATCTTTGTCAGTTTGAAAGTGTGAGAGTTTTCTCGAGACCTGTGATCTGAGATAATGTGGTGCGTATTAACACCATTGCTTTTCACCTATGTCATTATATGGAAATCCTGGATTTTAGCAATAGGTGAGTAAAAATCTAAAACGTGTATGCTGGTCATACTTGTAAGTTGTGCCGTATATAATTCTCCTGACTAGTTGAAAAATTGCCATATCGTAAAACAAACGAAATATTATTACTTCAAGCATTTATCGTAAGTCTGTGTATTGTAATTTATATTTTACAAATATTCTGGTTGATTGGATGGTTAAACTCTAGATATATTTCTAAAGTGAAGAATTACGGAATATACCAATCCCATCGCTAATCGTAAATTTTAGTAAAATTAAAACTATAAAATAGCTTGTTTAACCATTATGTCTATAATTAAACTATGGTGATATTGAAAGTTAAACAAAAAATAATGAACACAAAATTATTTTGATATTTGTGTTCCGTTTCTTAAAACGTCCCTTTGTTTACCGTCGTATACAACTTACAAGTGATTATTATTGATATTTAATTAAAATATAGTAAAGAGTCTATTTATCCCTTCACTGCGGGTAATGCTCTATCAATGAAAGTAACAGAAGAGGAGTTAACGAAAGGAGGCAGTACAGGCGTGAGTTGAATAGACTGGTTACTCCCCCCCTCCTGTCCTAGGCTTACAGGAGAAGCTTGCATTTTTTCCATTTAATTTACGTAACGCCATCTTCCTGAGATGTCTTTCAAGATACATTGTTTAATATACGTGTAATAAAAAAAATTAGTTTTATCTTTTACAAAATAAGCTTGAAATATGAGACGATGTGCGAAAATGGTGCTAATGAAGAGAGACGTTGTGGTATTCTCAGGTGCAGGGAGTTAACTTATTAAACAACGTTCTTGCTTTACACAATAGGTATATTTCACTATTCCTCACCATAAATGGATGTAACAGTTTATATTTACTGTTATAAAGACCCCAAAATACTGAAGAACGACTTTACCCATTTCTATTTACATTATTGTTTGTGTATTTTTCCCATGGTTTGAGGTATATTGGTTTATCGCTTATCTCTGGGGACAGATCCGTAGCAGTGAAACAATCTGTAAGAAATTCGAATAAAGACAAAGAGCTAACCACTTCATAGAAATCAATAGGATCATTTTCCGTAACTTATTGCTCCTAAGCACTACACAACTTGCCAATTGCTAAGATCAATGCCAAAATCCACATACTGTGTTTAACAATGTATTCCTACAGCAGCCTTTCCTACGAGAGAGCGCATCTAACACCGAAATGAGTGGGGTGGAGCAATGGCCCAGAATAACATGTAACGAGATTGTTGTTATTTTTATTCGCGCACCAATATATGCTTACGTATAAAAAAAATCGAAATTTCTTGGTGAACAAAATAAAATGCTCACCTGTCTCAACTTAAACGAAAAATAACATATTATAATTAGGATGCATGCATACTACATCTTCATGTGTGTGCACTTTATAACAAGTGTGTATTGTATTTTCCTTTATTTGTATAATAAAATTAATTTTATGCACATACATTTTTCGATAACTTGTAAGTATTATAATCAAAGTCTTTACATTAAAAAATCACAGGACAACCCCGTTAATACTTACTATTATAAAGACTCAAAATACCGAAGAGCGAATTTACCAATTTCCATTTACGTTATTTTTTGAAATTAATGTGTATTTCTTTTCTATGGTTTTAGGTGTAAAGTTCAGCTAATGCAACAAATGAATAAAACGAAATAATAAATTATATTTAACGATAACACCAAACTATCAAAAAAAAATATTATTTTGATATACTCTTTAATTACCTTTTTGATACCAAGTTTAATTAATTTTATTTTTGCGGTTTACAACCGTGAAATAATTTATATGGTTTTTGTTTTCTTTTTACTTACTGTTGAACATACGTGACAATCGAACCGTGAGGTCTTCAACATTCCTACAGGCTGAAGAATTGTTGAAAATCTATTGCTTGATGATATTGCTGACTATGAGTAAGAATGTTGTTTATGCCCTATCGCGGTGTCGCAATATTACACATGAATATAGGAAAATAAATATTAGGTATTTCGATATTTGTCACGTCCTTACTTTACAAAGAAGGAATATTTCACCATTCATCACCATACAGGGATGTAACAGTCACATCTTAGTTACCTTATTCCTCCTGGTACTTTAAAAATTCACACGATTCCATTCAAGTATTGCGTAATAAATTGAAATACATTCGTGTTATTAAACATAAAGTTTGCCAGTAACGTGAGAGGGCATGTCAAGCATTCTTGCTTATTCAACTGTAGAATAGTTAAATTCAAACGATTCTTTACATGTAAGGGATAGCTTTATGTCAAATGTTCATTAAGACCTCGCAATCTATGTTGAATAGAACATTGTCAGAGCTTCAACGATATTAATTTGCTTAATGTTTTCCACATATCTGTGTAATCTTGTCTGGTGGAAGTATAGTATATTGCTGTAGTTGATTAGCGTACCAGGACTATCAATCCGAGAATTCATGGTTGACGTTACGTTGCCTCAAAAACGCGCTCCACACTTTCGGGTCGTGAGTACACTATAAGAGTGATGGTAAAATCCCAAAAGGTGTCGGTGGTTCTGTTGGCTAGCTGCCCTCTTTTTCATCTGTTACTTCATAATTAAGGACAGTTTTGAGCAGATAGCCTTGTGTAGCTTTGCGCGAGAATTCTAAAAATAAATAGTAACACCATAGCTGATGTTGTCACTATTTTATATTGATGTTCGCTTTGAGAACGTCCCATATTATTGGTATAGTATTCAAAACTAAGAGAAACATGAATGCATTGGTACAAATGCAGTCAGTATACTTCGATTTTGCACGTTTCATTCGTTTTTAACTATTAGAAACTTCAATTTATTATCAAATAAAGTAATCATTGCTTATAAAGTAAGATGTATAGATTAGGTCACACTAAGTGACTATTTGTAAGAAACGTTTTTCTTCAGCAATGCAAAATGATTGAAATATATATATATATATATATCATTGGTACATATGTAATTGTCATAGAAGATACAGATAAAATAGACATAAAACATGACAGTATAAAACGAATATTTGTTCTTTTTCTTTGCGCTTTTTAGTTTTCTTTTTCTCTTTTCTGGTTTGGGATGGGGATGGAATTTGCCACGTGCTTTGCACATATTTTCAGTATTGCCTGTGACTACTATGTAACAAATAGTGCATAAGCTTTTTATGTATTAGCATCTTGCTTTTACGTGTGTTACACAAATTTGTCGTCCGTTCAATCACGCTATTTTCCTGTATTGTCTCAGTAACGACATTATTTGTTGCTCTAAATTACATGATACATTCTGCAACCTTCAGCAGTCGATTTTGCAATATATATTTTTATTTTGGAGATAGTGTATTTGGGGAAAAAAATCTGAGTATAAAAAATAACCAAGTTATTAGCAAGCGTTATTTTCCTGAAGTGGATAAATTGTGCTTATTTTTCACTCGTTAATCCTCCTATTTCTTTGTTATTTCACGCAATATATTTGTGGAAACATAACTCACTGAAAATTGATTTTAATCGTTCACTGGACCAAATCGGATCCATGTTGTCACTAAACGTGATTTATTGCAAAAATATGCATAATTTTCTCATATTGGAGCAGATGACCTTTGTGTAGCATTGCCGTAGTTAATTCACAAAAAGTATTTTGTTCATGTTCGTTCAAAATACTTTATATAAATGAAATATTGGAAATTGTTGGATATTTAATATTTCAAAACCCTCTAAATCTGATTATACCTCCGTTATTTTTAAAGTGCTGTTTATAGAATCGTATTTAATCGTTTTGTACTGGGGTTATGCTTTATCTTCCAACATGAGATGCTGGTCAATCAGTCATAAATATTCGTATATATCCTGTCTGAATAATAAGAAAATGATCAACTTTATATTAAAGACGTTATTTTTTGTTAAAGCTATGCACGGTGCAGCATTTTCAGTTACAGAAATATAACGCAAAAATGGATTTAAATAAAAAGCATGGAAGCGTGAAGTTTAAACGGCTATTTAGTTCGTTTTTAATATATTAATATTCGTAAGCCTGAGCGCTGCTTCCTCTCAACATTTTGAAGACTAGTGGATATCTCCTGTGCTGGTTTCTCCGGGTGCGTAATTCGAAGCCTTTGCACTTATAACTTACATAGACCATTCAGTCTTAGCGAAATCGTGTCAGTTTGGGGGAAGAATGTAGGTCATATGTAGCCCTGATGTGGCTGATCTAATCCACACGTCACGTTTCATGTCTAGGCCATAAAGTGGAGTCATAGCTGGCCAAGCACACAGTAACTGTAAACACGAGTCATAAGTTTATACATGATTTCTTGAATACTGCAGACAATAGTTAAAATACCATATATTTGCTCACACTTTATATATTCGCTTATACCTCAAAATTGCCAATAATTCATTTCTTTTCGTATTTTGTATTCATATAGTTTTTTGTACGAGCGAGTATCAAAGCATTGTAAACACCTAACTTATAAACCCCAACCTGTTAATTCAGGATTAACGTGATCTAGTTTTTCTTGTTGTGAAAATATGAGTTTGTGCTCTTGTTGAAAATTATTGATCAATATAAACAGTTAGAGATACCCATGATATTTTTCTTTTGTCCACTTGACAGAATGTAACTATGCTTATTGCACATTTTACAGTTGGTCGTCCAATAAATTTAAATGATGTCATAGAGCGGAATGTGGTTTGTTGTTCTCAACAAATTACAATTTTGTTCAAAGAAGTATTCTTTTTTCGCACATTTGTTCTTTATTAACAATCGTGGAATACCATCTTAATAGGAAAGTAGAACATGTCGCTTCCTTTTCAACTTAAATCTCGTCAAAGAAGCGCTTTTGTTTACTAAATCGGTTTCACTTTTTTTCTCGGACTACTCATTTCCTACGTTTATTTGAAACGTACAGAGGTTATCCCAGTTGGTTCCTGTACAACAACGATATATTTACATCTGAAAACTATATAAATCCTTAGTGTGTCAGTTAATCACCAAATAAATGTCATAGTTTTAGTTCGAGATTGACTCCTTCTCAGTTTATACTAATCATTAATGTATCCTATCACTAAACTCAAACCTTGTAGTTGAAAAATCTGCATCCTAATTTTTCATTTTGGAGTAATTAGAAAATTGTTATACACATAAATGTTCTTACGTTACTGTTATCTTGCTTAACTCATTTTACAATATATTTGCAGATCCACCGAAAAGTGCACTGTCAAGATCACAGGTGGTGTACCCAGTTCGTGTCGGACAGCTGTATCACGATCATGATAACACGTGGAGGCAAGACAGAAAACAGAAAATGTATTATAGATGGGAAGCTTTCAATAAAATATTCATTTTGAATTTAGAACAAGAAAACAGTTTTATATCTCCCCACTTTTCTTTGCAAACTGTGGATTCATTAGTCGAAAACACTACAATATGGATACATCCACCTATCGAACGAAGCTGTTACTACCAGGGTCGTGTTCAAGGTGATAAACCATCTAGGGTATTTGTCAGTCTTTGCAAAGGAATGGTAAGTATTACTCGGAAATTGTATGATTTTTATAGTTTAAAATAATTCTAACTCAAACATATTGCTATCTTTTATATTTCTTTAAAAAAAAAATTCTATTACCCCGTAGTTTACGTGAATGTTCGTACATGGAAAAGTACACTCATTATTAATCTAGTTTATAACAGGAATTCTCACATTTGTACATATTTAAAAATTATGAATTGCAAAAAAAGAACTAGAGAGACACTCAGTAGACCGCATACCTCCGAAACGCGGCGTTGATCATATTCGGCTCTCAAAAAATACGAAAATGTGTTCATATGTCCGTCGTTATTAACGGACACGGACAATTATTGGCAGGACAACCAAAAATAATATTCTACAAGTTTCATCAAAATCTGATAATTTTTGACACAGTTGTAGAGCAAAAATAGTATGAAAAATCGGCCCCCATGTTAACAGATAGGGATTTTCTTTTCGTAACATTCCTGTGACCTTGACTGTCCATAAACTAATATACATTTGGACTATGATCCAACTTTCATCCAAATCCATTCAGCCGTTTACAGGGGTAAAAACATAACTTCCCTCCATCTTTAGTGGCGGAGGTAACAAATAGTAAATAGCTGTTGCACTAATTTTATGTTGTAGTCATGAGTTATTGAACTATTAATTGAGAGAACTGGCATCCTCTAACGATTTTTACCTCTAAATAAGTAGATAGGAATATTTTTGCACTCTGTGTATTAAAAAATCTAAATATTAAGGGTCAATATTATAATTCATATTGTTCTTAAAACAAGTGAATAAAAGAGTTAACATTACAGTATTGTTTAGTAGCACCATTCTATTCAATGTGAAAGGAGGATAGTAAACTAGCTTTATTGATATAATAGAGATTGGAGTTAAGGTCTGACAGATAGAACATTTTAGAATATCGCATTTCGATAAAAATGTAATGAGAACGCCCTCCCACTCAATTGATATTGATAGTCATTGCATGTGTGTTTATTGAAGAATTAATATGTTACTATAAAATGTAAAACAAAAAGAAATCCAGTGTTCTTTCAGCTCTAGAACATTCTATGATTTTTAATGCTTTCTTAAGCAAGGCTGTTCATCATAATCCTAGTTGTTTAATATCAAGTATTGCTTTGGTTTAAGATAAATTCTGATCTGATTGTTCCAACAAGTAGTCGTACCATTAGCGCTTTCTGGATCTTAAAGGTGTCACTTACGCCTTGAATTTTCTCTCCTTTTAACACTGTGAATATTTAATCAATTTGCAAGAAGCTAAGTACCTTTCTAGGTATATCATTCTGCACAAAAATCGCATAATTTAAGAAAGCATTTTTAGTATTCTTTAGATCGGGAAATTTCCAAACATTTTGTTGTGAGCTACTGTTTTAAAAAAAACATTACAAATACTTCTTTTGTTTTAAAACTTCATCTCTTTAATGATTGTTCAGAAAGTTCCACTTTCTTCTAGCTCTTAAATCCTTGAGTAACTGGATGTAGAGTGCAGTGTTCAAAAATATAATAAACCACATACTAATGTCTAATGACAAGTAAATTAATGATAATCATGCTTCGTCAATTTAAACGACGTTCACACCAAAACAAATTATAGTATCTCCTATCTAATCATTTTAAAACGGCAGATATAGCTATTTTCAGAGCTGAGCTTCATTAGTAATTGGTCAGACCACATGCTTGACGTCATGAAAGAGTGACAAGACAGGGCACCAGTAGAAAAAGAAACTGACAGGAAAAGAAAATTACTTTAAAAAACAAGATATTTATCGTTCTGTTTCTAAGATATATTGCTTTTCTAACAAATATAAACCTATACTTTGGGATTACAAATGAATGTTTTACAAAAATAATCCTGACAGCTAGCAGAAATTACTTTTCACCAAGAAAAATGAAAAAATACATAAATGTTAAAAATGCTAAAATATCAATTTTAATTTGGTGGTGGTGGTGGGGGGGGGGGGTTCTTGAAATATAAGTAGATTTACTTGAAAGTGAAATTTAACTTGCAAGTGTACACTCCACATTTCAAAGATACACGCCTCGTATTATAGGTCTATGTTCAGTACCACGTTAATATATCATCAACCAATGAAGCACGACTAAATATATATGCCCATTTACATTAATGTTTAGTTATATTACAATGATCATGTAGTTCAACTTCTTGCTCTAGAGGCAGACAACCCCTTGATCAGTGATTTGCTTCGAAAGGATACACTTCCTTTGGATTTGCTGCCACATCTATTAATCTTGACAAAAGCCTAAAGAATTATACAATGAACTATAACTATGACTTAAGTGTTACTGATTTATATTTAGGTTCATATAGCTTATTTCTTACTATATGGTCTTCACATCCTTGGTTTACTTTCGTGGAGCTTGTTTATTATTATATGGTCACTGGAGATTACAATAGGTTGTCTGTAGGTCCATAAAGAATTTATGACAAATAAAATAGCGATTCGTAAGTCATGTTAAGATAGCGCTTATTGAATGGCGAAGTTGACTTTTTGTAACATTGTCCAGGCTGTCTACATTACATACCAGTTATCCATTAGTGTACTCACAACAAGCCCTCTATAAAACAATATTCGCCAAACAAATGAACTGTCTCTAGTCTAGATATGGTATCCAGGTACACTGATATCCAATAGGTACCCAACGTTTCTGCATTGCTGTAGGTTCTATGTAAAAGTAATTGAAGTATATGCACGACAACTGGATATATCGTACTAAAGATATATTCGAAGTTAGCTATGGTAGTGTGAAACTAACGATTAGATTAACTGTGATTATCCCCCTCCACATTTTTTTTTATCTCGATATCTTCCTATGGAAGCTTAAAATTACTAACTGATTTACAAATTAACTATAATGTTGTAAGACACAGTAATCGTAATCTTCTCGTTCAGGTGAAAAGCAAAACACAATGATTCCTACATAAGCTCCAGAAAAACTAAAACAACGAGATGAAATCTTACTCAAAATATTAGTTAAAACAAATGGACATTAAAATAGAAAAATCATAGTACAAAAAATCAAATGTAAATAAACAAAATCAACAGTGAACCATAAAAACACAACAGTCGTCCAGCTAATACTTCAAACAAAATTAAAACTCATCAAACAAAATTCAAATATTAGAAGTCAAAAATGAAAATGTAATATAAAATAACACATCAGTAAACCCCCAAAACAAAATAATCATTATGATAAAAACAGAACTGACATCAACTTCAAGAATATATACTGCATTTACAATTACTGTAGGAGATTTTGCTTCTTGGTTTGGCTGTTCCTATCTCAGCTCCTTGGCATGATGGCCATCTCTTTTTAAGGAGTCATCTCCAAAATTGAACCTGGGTACCTCGCAGTCCATGCTGACCATGACATTGCACTATGGCCAATCAACAGGTGATAAGACAGAAACGTGAATGAAGAGTTAACCATGATGTTTTTCGTGCCAGCAATGCTTTGGGCTGAAGTATTCCACTCTGTTGGGCACTTCACGGCAGTCCTACCAGTGCAATAGATTTTCAGGCAGTTCACAATATTCATGGACTCCACTGACAATTCAGAATTTAAAACACAGAGTTAACACAATTTGTTAGCAGTTATTGTTAACAATTTAAGGTGAAACCAATCAGACTGTGGCTGAAAAATTTGTCTGGATACAGATGTAGTGCATATGAATTGTTTAGACATTCGTGGTAAATGCTTTCTGCTCTGTGACATAAGGACATAGCTGTTCTACTCATTAGGGAATGTACAATTCACATAGCTTCATATGGAACAGTACATGTGCAGATACCTTGGCAAGACCCTCTTAACATACTGGCTTTGGCAATAGCCATGGCTCAGTAGATACAGCCATGCATGAGTCTTTCACCATTGTCTCCCAGATCTAATGTGAAGGAAAGTGTAAAACTGCAACCAGTCTTTCCTTTGCAACTGAAATTAGGTCAACATTTTTACATAGAGTATCCACATATTCTAATCTTGAATATTTCATAACCTGTTTACAACTCCAACCTGCCTTATAACTCTAGTTAAACATTATCCAAATATATAAGTAAAATTACGACTGCCTTCACAAATAAGTCCATAATTACATTCATAAAATCCACATAATAATTACATTAAAATAGTACAACATGATGATGGGATTATGACGATTCCGAAACGTTTAATAGGTGCTTCCTGTTATTACGTTCGTGTTTTGTTTTATCGTTAAGTTACGTTTTCCGAAAAATGAGTCGATTACTAGTACAACAAATGTAGTCAATATATAAAATCGTGGATAATGACATCACCATTGAGCACCTACCCTGGTTTATATGAAAACTAATATTAATGTTACTCGTGTTCTTCACACGCACTGCACTTCAAACAAACTGATACATACTAACAAAACTATCAGGTACAATCTTTCATAATACATCTGTGAAGGAATGTGCTAATATATCAGCCAACTTTGTGAAGTAATCGATAACAGTTAGTATGTAATAATTACCTATATTAGCCAGGTACATCTAGGGTGATTATCCAGTAGAGAACCAGATGATGACAAAATCTTATCGAAACGTTGTACATTTTCTGTTATGTTAAACTTATATTAAAGTTTTTCTTCATT